CAAATAAAAAAGCACCAGTGATAACAAAAAAAAAACAAGATGAATAAATAAATAAATTACAAAAGCAAAATAACAATAGTGTACGGAATGAATAAAGAAACCTAATTTTGATTAGTACTCGTTTTTTAAAGTTCACTTTTTGTTTCAATATTTTTCTCAATAAAATTAACTAAATCATTTATATCTCGATTTCCTTCATATTTAACTGGTTTTTTATTCTTTGGCATAATATATATTGTTGGATAACCGGTAACATCAAAACCTGGTGGAATATCATTTGCTGTAGCATCTATTTGAGCTAAAATAACATTTGATTGACTAGTATAACGTTCAGCAAGTTTGCTATAGGTTGGTTTAAATTCATTACAATGTCCACACCTAGAAAATAATCAAATAGATAAACACGGGTAAGATAAAGATTTTTTAGGAGTAGGTACAGTTTATTTCTTTTGCTTAGAAGTATGATTGCATATCACTTAGAAAATAAAGAATTATTCGACGAAAAACACTTGATCGGAACCCTACCTACATTGTTTTTGGTTAGAAAATGTCTTGTGTTATACATCATCCGATGTAGTTTCGTACGCTAATTCGGAATGTATTATTGACTTTCAATAGAAAAACTTTCGAGTATGAAAACAAAAATAAAGTTTAGAGAAAAATGCAAGACTTTTTGGAAAATCTACTGTAAGATTCAGGAGCGTTTATGCTTACTGTGGTGATAGAGGACACAAAATAGAATATTCTAACACAGTTTTAGTGGATTCGGATTGACGCGGGTTCGTTTTACTGAGCTTAGCCATTCCGAAAGTTAGTCTAGAAAAAACTTATATTTTTTCTTCTCAAAAAGTACAGTTCTTCGATAATCAATGCCAGATGATATACAGATTCAGGTTATCTATTGAATGTATCTTGCAAGTGGTTTCATTTTGTCAAAAATTAATTTTCTCATCAATATCAGTGTTTTCAGTCTACTTAAAATTCATAAAAAATTTTACACCATTAAATAGTACATGTCTCAAAGTATATTTATCACTATTTGAACCGATGAAAGAATGACTTTCGTTTGTTTTTTCACCTCGTATCCGTCTGGATGTACACTGCGGTACGAAAAAAAAAA